CTTTACGAAAAATGTAATTTACAGGAAATATTAAATTTAATTTAAAATTTACCTAAACTCTAACACTACTCTTATAACTTGTCTTTTATTTGTTCAATTTCGAGTAGTTCGTATTATATAAAATATAATATACAAAATAGAAAAAAAATTTGACAGTTTTGTTCTTTTATTTTTGCATTCCTTTAAGTAACCAACAAAATGCCAATCACATTTTACTTTAAAAATTAAACAGAAAGTCAATTTCAATTTTGTTCTGTAGTGAAGATCTAAGAAGAATAAGTTTGAAAGCATCAATGATGATTTTTTTAGAACTATATATTAAAAAAAAAACTACCTTAAATGATTTTTGAGATAGAATATAATTTAATTGTAATCAAAGAAGGGTAAGAAAAACACAAATTGTACAGCATTAGTGTTATTAGAGCTGTGGATGAAAACTCATTAAAATTCTAAAATAAAACAACTTTTTAAAAAAAAAATTCAGTTCTTTTTTTTACAGAAAAATCAATGTCTTTCTTTCACTAACATTTTTTCCCCCTTTCCTTTCGCAGAAAAAAAGAATTTTACTAAATTTTTGTTCACTCAAATATTTGTTTAAGTTGTATGCAATTCGTTTTTTCGATATAAAAGGAGTTTGTGGAATTTTCTTCAATGCAAGACAAATCAAATGCAACCCAACTTTTATGTACATATGATATTCTTAAAAGGAAATATCACGTTGACAGCCTTTCTTTGTAATAATGAAATTTTCTACAAGTCTAGACTTTATTAATCATCTGTTTAGATTTTAACTATTCTAACTTTTATATTTATTTAATCATATTTAAAATATTATTAAGAATAAAATATTTGTTTAAAAATATATNTTATTTTTTATAAATAAGAAATGAAGCATATTAAGATGTTGCTAGAACTTAATCTACTAACAATGGAGAAATAACAATGAATTAACTTGTATTACAGTTTTTCTTTATAACTTTGTCCTTTTTTTTATGCTTAAAGAAAGAAGATAAAACATAATTATAGTTAAAGAACACCAACTTAAATATTGTGGAGTTTACATGGTTTTCAAAGTAATGGAACTGATAGCCAGTAATGTTGATATAAAAAAAACCAAATAAAAATAAAAAAGAAGTGTTCATTCGTTTATTTTTTCCAGCGTTAGGCCTATTTAACTGTATTTTTTAGTTCGTTAATGAGTAGAAGAGACCTATCGTGTCAACAATACAGATACCTGAAGCCTTTCAAAATGAATAATGTCAAATGTTTTTTTCAAACTAATGAAAACACTTCATCGATGACAATATGCTTGATTAAAAGAAATTTTGGCACATTACCAGATTAGAAGAAAGAGCTAACAGGGAAAAAAGAAGATTATTTCTCAGTTCTACATTAAGAAAGCAAATTCAGTGATTGCAACATTTCAATAATTACTATTTTTATTTAAGATTTATAAATATATATTGGTATATAATTTATTTATTTTAATAATTTAAACATTTATTTAGTCATAACAAGCCATCTATTTTCTATTATAACGATATAAAATGTAAAAAAGTATATATAACTAAATATATAAAAAATAATTTAATTTTTACCTATTTATAATAAAAGAAATTTAAATTTAATAGCTATTTAATTTATATCTATACTTAAAAACATAAAATATAAATAAAATAATTTATTATTACCCTATAAAAAACAAAGTTATGCAAATTATAATGTAGTTATAATTCATTATAAACTTAAAATTCATTTTTATAAAGAATATTTGCATTAAAAAAATCATTAATATTCATAAAGTATACCATGTTTTAATAAAACTAAATTTTAAAAAGTCAATAAAAGTAAATTATAAAATTTAAAAAAGTATATTATTTATATGACTCTAAAATTTCTGAAAATTTAATAATTTTTATTCATCCTCTACTAGAGCAGTTGATCAGTCATGCATTTTAACATAGTGTAGAAGCAAGTTGCTTATTTGGTAAAGTTTTTAAATTTACAGGTATGAAACTTCAGATAAAATGGAATACACCTACCTAATTTGCATATTTTGAGTTTAAAAAAAGATTGCAGTTTTATATACAACGTTTTACAGCAATATTTTCTGTTGTATCATTAAAAAAAAAAAACGAAATTTAATAAGAAAAGTTTATCTAATTTTAATAAATTTAAGATAAAGACTGACTTATATAATTAATGCAATATAATATATAATTTATTCATTTTAAATAATAAAAATTCGCAATTAAATAAAAATATTTTGATTTAATTCGTGATTAATTAAATATAGTTTTATTCATATCTACAGCGAATATTTTAATATTTAAATAAATTTTTGTTTTAATTTTTATTTTAAATTATTTATTTATTTTTTAAAAATTAATTCAGGAAACAATACAAAAATTAAAATAAACGAAATGATAATAAAATGGAAAAAACTAAATACAGTCAACTAAAAATATTTATTAAAATTCATTAATTTATTAAATAATTTATGTAAATACTATTTATAATTATTGCTTAACCTATACATATTTTAAAATATAAAAATTATTAATTTTAAATATTGGCTTAATTTGATAGGTAATGATGTAAATAAAATTGATTTTTACTGCTTGTTAATAGGTGATAATTGTGCTTCGAAGTATCTACGATCGGAGCTCATCCAAGCAAATGAAATAACAAAATTGTATGCACTAGTAAAAGTAGTCAAATAATCCTTTGTAAGCTCTCATATATTCAAGGTTGTTGACCAACTAACATTCCACTTTGACTAATCCCAAAACCTAATAAATCGCAGGCAATGTTGCTACCAAGGCACACCCGTATGTAATTAGCTACACCATTACTACAGAATATACGATGATGACAATAATATGAAAATGAGGTATTGTTTTGTCATTTTCATAAAGGGAAGACAATAACGATGATAAAAACGTAAAAATATACATAATTTAAAGGGGAAAAAATACGTTAAAATATTATAAGAAATTTCTTTTTATAAATATTCAATAATATAATTAATATGAATAAAATAAAAATAAAAAAACAAAAAATTACTTAAAAAAAAGAAAATATAAACAGTATTCATGCTAAAATAATATAACTAGGGAAATTACTTTGAAAAAGAAAGCAAAAACAAAAAAATAGATTGCAGGATCGTACTCTAGAGATGGATTTCTTCCTACTCTAATGGAAGGAAAGTGGATCTAGATCCCGAAAAGTAGAAGGATATTGAGGAAATCTGATACGGGCGGAGGTATAGTATCTAGGGTCAATAATGACACGTACAAGACAAAATTGCACTTGCAAGACTACTACTAAGAAGAAAATGTGCTCTTCTCAGGGACATTGCAAAATTCTTAGCTATATTACGAAATGACATTGAACATTATTCATCTATAATCTCCCATAATACGTCGTTCCATTACTATTATGTTTCGAAAATACATTTACAAAAGCATATATATTTTAGGTCACATTAAAATTTATTTTTCTAAAATATATAATGCATTTTTTTGTATTATTTAATACAAAATTTGTTTATTTGTAAAAACAAAATGTGATCTAAATATTTGGATTTCGATGCTTTTAAGAGAATTTTAAGTGTTTTTATTAATTAGTAAATGCGAATATATTAATTAAGAATTAAAATTTTAATTATAATTATTTATATATATNTCATACTGACAGTATCTTAGATCTTATTTATGCAGTTTACTGATATTTTTAATTTATTTTTTTTACTAAAAATCAAAATTGTAAATTAGTTAATTAAGAATTTATTTAAAATTTTTCGATTTAATATCTTCGAGAGTTGGAAATTAAATAATATATTTTTAAAATATTTATTTTTAATTGGCTATTTTCTATAGAATAGAGAACATTTTGTAGCATTTGATAATAAAAAAAGACATTCAAAATGAAATATTGGATTCTGTGCGAGTACCACAAACACGTTATTGCAGAAAGCCTTCAGGAGGTCTGGTATAAATGTATTTATTCCAGCAGGTTGCGTTCGATTTCTCGGACTTGGAAAGATTCCCTGTCCTATTTCCTGTCCACTGATGTGTCTGACGTTAGCGCACCAGCCGTCCAACAAATAGCTTTTTGTATCGTACTCCTAAAAGTTCCCATCGACTTTTTTCAAGTGGCCGATCTATTGACCCGCAACAAACTCAACTGTCCACTTGTCTGCCATCCTAACTCTGGTCTTTCTTGTCAATTCCATTGGCTTCTTGACCAGTTCCATCCTCCAGGCTTCTAGCCAACTGAGATGCAGTTTCCATGACAACGTGCAGATCGGACGAAAAGTCAAGGGTCGGAGAAAGTCTAAGGATAGAGAGAATTTAGTCCAGAATTTCGAATACGATTCGAAATGTCTTCAATCTTCAGCTTTGATTTAAAAATGCAGAAAATGTCAGTGTTTCAATTCGCAATTACTTCTATAACATTTTCTTGATATGAGAAGTTTTTCATAATCTTTTACTTAATAGAAAATTCTGAAATATGTTTAAAATTCTCTAAATAAACCTTAGAATTATGTTTAATTTCTTATTGTAGAGCATATTTTTCAATATGCCAAATATTATAAATGAAAAATAGAGTTTTTTCAAAAGATACTTGACAGAGAAATCTTTTAATTTGCTAACACATTAATTACAAGATATTTATTAAAAATTATAAACTAATGAAGGAAAAATTGAAGTGCTAGTCATCAATTCATAAAGCAGGCATTAATCTTTCAAAAAATTAAAATATGAAGAAATTGTTAGAAAACATCAACATGACAAACTTAGAGCATTGTAAATTGAAATTTTTCTCTCACAGACTGTTTCTAACGAGCGCTTTATTGACTATTCATTAATTGACAAAAGAACATGATAAATTACGTCCAGAAAAAGACTTCATTATCTTAAAGTTCTTTACTTCTGGCAGAGATGGAAGAGAGATTTGTTCACTTAGTGGAAATAATATAAATTGATATTGTTTTCCGTGGACGAAGTAGACACACCTTCATTAATTCATTAGAAAAACGAATCTTAATTAATACACGTGAGCCGAAAGAAGGGAAAATGAGAGAAATGTCTCTTCCAACATTTATTATGTCAACTGAATTAATAATATTTTACTATTTTGAACTGAAGTGCTATTATATAAGATTTTTAATCACTTAATGATAACGTATACAGTAAAAAGTGAAAATGCATCCCTTAGTGTTCTTGATTTACAACATTTAATAAAATTAAAGCCCTCTTTTATATAAGTTCATAATAAAAGAAGTTAAATTCTGATGACTATCGTTGTTGAACAGGAAAGAGAACTTTTTATGACCACTTCTAAAGATTTGCAGTCGTTTTGTATCCCCCTTCCACTTGACACAAGGAGTCGATGGTCCGTACGTAGAGAAGATTCACTGTCTGCCAATTGTTGTAAATCTCGCCATTCTGTAATTGTTATCTGTCGTCTTAACTTTTTCATTGTCTAAAGGGAATTGTTAGACGTTAATCAAATAAAATTTTCACTTTCAAACATCTGATTGGATTAGTAATATTATTCATTGGGCAATGTTAAAACGAATTCTAGAATTACCCGAATTCAATCGAAAAAATAAGAAAATGGTAAATTCTAAGAGTATAATTATATTATTTTAATTGATCTAAATATCATAAAAAATTAATTTATATATAAAATTAATAAAACAGTAACATTTAAGAGACAAATCACTCTTAATTAATAAAATGAATATTAAATATAATTACAGTTTATATGTGTATGCCGTGTTTACATCTTCTTTTATTGTACACATGTTTCTTTCTCTAAATAGATTTTAGTATAATCGTGTATTCAGAATAGAAGCAATAGCTGTTTCGATTAAATAAAACTGTAGACAACCGTATCATTCCTTCCACTTTAAACATTTAGAGAGATAAGGTAAATCTTTACAATAAAAACGGCAAATGGAAGATACTACCAACTTTAATCTAACATTTGGTTTTTATCTACCAACTTAGAGATAAAAACGTCAATTCACCATCTGCGAAAGCAACCAAGGTACCATTCAATAAATGGACTTTCCCGGTTCAGTCCACCTGTTCCCCGTGATGAGAGATCGCTAATAGAAAGCTATATAAAACTACGACTGGTAGGTTACTGTCTTTCACCCTCAATAATATTAGGGATGGCAGGGGAGGAAGAATAAGCAGCGTGCGAACTTTAACAGATGCTCCTTCTATCGTGATGAGAATTTCTGGATGTACATCATGCAGGATATACTCTGTTTGAGGTGTATTCCGGAAGAATTCTCGACTTAGAACTATCGGAACTGTAATTATATATTGGTGTTAATAATATACATAGAGAATTTCGGATATTTTAACTAGTTCGTGCCTTAATTTTTAAAGTATAATAATTTTAAATTTATATTAGTTAAAAATAATTATCGATAATTTAATAGTATCGTGATACTTCATCTTTAAAAATAATATAATATATAATAGTTTAATTAAGTTTAAAATAAGTTTAGCTTGTATTTACTGTATATATCGTAAGTAACGTTTCTACGTTGAGTTTACTTTTAGTTATCACAACTGTTAGAGGCTTATATTCGACTGAAGAATTTGAATTAAATGTAGAAAATAATATAATATATATATATATGATTTTCTTTTTCTATCAAAGTGTAAATATATTTGTTATATTATGCAGTGTGACCTACAATTCAGTTAACCAAGACTGTTGCTCAGATCAAGACAACCAAAAAATGTAGTAACTAGAAACTCGTAGCAATGTCTTAATTGATGTAGCTTTTTAGCTTTATTAGTAGAAATTATAATATTAAATTAAAAGTTTTATTTTAAAGCCGTTAGCTGACTTTTTGGCCATCTTTATATTCATATAAATAACTAGATGAGCAATGTTTTGATAAGAGAAAAATTTATCAAAGTTCTTTTTTATAGGCTATATATTATAGAGAACATCAATATGAATCGATTAGCTACAGAAGTTCGATTTAAACGAAACTTCTGTTAAATTTTAATTGATTAATACGTAAAATTATATTTAAAACCAAGCTGATTTCTTCAGTCTTTATGTTTGTTTTAACTCCATTCAGTTTATAGTTATAAATTAAAAAAGAATAAAAATCTTTACGAAAAATGTAATTTACAGGAAATATTAAATTTAATTTAAAATTTACCTAAACTCTAACACTACTCTTATAACTTGTCTTTTATTTGTTCAATTTCGAGTAGTTCGTATTATATAAAATATAATATACAAAATAGAAAAAAAATTTGACAGTTTTGTTCTTTTATTTTTGCATTCCTTTAAGTAACCAACAAAATGCCAATCACATTTTACTTTAAAAATTAAACAGAAAGTCAATTTCAATTTTGTTCTGTAGTGAAGATCTAAGAAGAATAAGTTTGAAAGCATCAATGATGATTTTTTTAGAACTATATATTAAAAAAAAACTACCTTAAATGATTTTTGAGATAGAATATAATTTAATTGTAATCAAAGAAGGGTAAGAAAAACACAAATTGTACAGCATTAGTGTTATTAGAGCTGTGGATGAAAACTCATTAAAATTCTAAAATAAAACAACTTTTTAAAAAAAAAATTCAGTTCTTTTTTTTACAGAAAAATCAATGTCTTTCTTTCACTAACATTTTTTCCCCCTTTCCTTTCGCAGAAAAAAAGAATTTTACTAAATTTTTGTTCACTCAAATATTTGTTTAAGTTGTATGCAATTCGTTTTTTCGATATAAAAGGAGTTTGTGGAATTTTCTTCAATGCAAGACAAATCAAATGCAACCCAACTTTTATGTACATATGATATTCTTAAAAGGAAATATCACGTTGACAGCCTTTCTTTGTAATAATGAAATTTTCTACAAGTCTAGACTTTATTAATCATCTGTTTAGATTTTAACTATTCTAACTTTTATATTTATTTAATCATATTTAAAATATTATTAAGAATAAAATATTTGTTTAAAAATATATTTTAAAAATCATATTTAACTTTATTATAATTAATTCTTATTATTTCGTAGCTTATAACTTAATGAAAATTTAGTTATTAAATTTAAAATCTTACATATAAGTGGATTTAAGATCTGTTTTTTATTTTATTAAGAAGTTTATTTATTATTTTTAAATATACAAAGCATGCAATTTTTTTCTGAAAACTAGAGTATAATTTATTCCATTGTACTCAAATAAATGAATTCAATTGAAATAAATAAGATACATTTACGTATCGAATTATTTTAATAAATAATTCTTGTATAATTTGCATGCAGGCATTAAAAAAAACTTAGATAAAAAGAAAAGAAGCTCTAAACAATCCCGAACAAAATATTAGGTTAAAGACAGTATTTAGTGTACGAGAAAAGACACAATAGCAGATGGATCAAGTTAGTTGGATACCATCAAACATGGGATTTGGAGACTGTTAGGAATTTGTTTAGAGATAGCAAATGCGAACATATACACGGACTTAGCAGCCATTTGTTTAACAGAACATTTGCTTGAAGCGTGTTCACCGAACTAGCAAATTAAATAATCCTAGCAGAATTAACTGTCCTTCGACCCATCTGTCCTTTTGTCTGCTTGGATATACAAAGGATACTTCTTAAATATTTTATGTAGACTTTTGACGATGATACAATTACTTTTGAAAAAGTATTAATACTTTTTAATCCCATTAATTAATTTAATGAATTTTATTACATTATAAACAATAAAATTAGTTTCGTATATAAACCCAGACAAAAAATTTTATTTATATGTATGTATATATATCGGAAAATAGGATGATTTTCATTAGAAGTAGCCTGAAGTACGTTATTTCCAACTAACTCTGGTAATTTTCTACTTGTTCTTTCAGACATCAACAAACTAATTTAGGCAATTCTCTTTCTGGATTTAGTTCTCCACCAAATATTTTATATTATTCATTCTGTATACATAATAGAATAAATTCATTCGAGACTCAAGACATTCTTGAAATCGTTTTCCTTGAATATTCTTGCGGAATGCAAATTTTTATAGAATAAATACAGAATTTTCCCGCGAAGAGTTTACGTAAAATGACCTTTCGTTGATTTAATATCTAATCTTCACAACAACTGCGGGTTATATATTTAACTCATTCTTCAATAGAATAAAATATACGTTCAGAAAGTTTGAATAACTCCGCATCCTTTCACATTACATATCTCGACTTGTATGATTAGAAGGGGAAAAAACCATGCATATAAATAATAAATATCGTAAAGAATTTAACTGGGGATATATATTTTAAAAGACATTTTTATTTACTGATAATTTTATTCATGTTGATGCGATAGTATATCGGAAATTGGGGTATTTATCTTTTTAAAATCTTGTCTTTTCACATCACATAACATAATCCCAAAGGCTCCTAAATGCTAATGATCGTTAGAGATTTAGGTAAGATATGGATCCAACGATGAAGTGATAAGATTACGTCACGAGCTGTCGAATAAATATTTGCATCTGCATCCCGGAGAGCACGCATCATTCGTGATTATTTGGAGAATATTTCACTGTATTCTTATAAAATATGGAATGGATAAATATTTTCAACACTATTTATTTTTCAATAATTACAGTTTTTTTTAATAATAGAGGAGTCTATTAAATTCTTTATAATTAATTAATTAATATAATTAATTTAATTCTTAAATAGGTTAATAATTTTGTACAAATGTATATAAAGAGATTTAACATAATTAGTAAATATTATCTCTCGGGAAAGTAATTCGCTTAAAATTTTAATAAATTTAGAAATGTAAAAAATAAAAAATATATAATAACATAATTCTAGTTATTTTTTTTAATTGTTTCAAGATATTAAAATTTTTCTAATACTTTTATGTAAAAGTTAAACTCATAAACGTAAATTTTTAAAACAAATTTCCTTAATTAAAGAAAAATAAAGCATCCTGTAAAATTCGTGTCTTCTTCTTCTTTTTTTCTTTTCTTTCTTAAAAAAATGTAAGGAACTATTCAGACTGAAACAATATTATTTTAAGATAAAGATTTTTATAATCTCCTTTATTCGAAAAACAAGATTTTCTTGTGATCCTTACCTTAGTAAAGAAAACAAAGCGGTTATTTACGGGAGTTTAAGCTAATAAAAATCTGAATCATACGAGAGAAGCTTTACTTCATACAATAATAATAATAAAAGGTTAATTATCTGCTAAATTAAACATTGATCTCATTAAATGTTCTGTGTTGCCGAAGGAACCCGAGCCAATCTCGTGGGGACATTATTAAAAATATATTCCTTCTTTCTCTCTTCCTCGTCATCTTTGCGACCTCTTAATTATTAACGAATATTCTTTTGATTGATTCATTTATTTCTTCATTTCTACTTTTTAATTTTTTCTTCCTCTGCTATTGATTTCAACGATTGTTGTAAAATTGAAATAAATAAATTACAAAAATACTAATAACAAACATTAGTTCAATTTGGAATATCTCCAATAATTTTATTCCTATTTTTTTACTATTTTTTATCTATTGAAATGAAATAATTTCATTTTTTTAGAGTGACATCATTAAAAATATATCGTTAAGTTGTTATCTATATAAATCATTTCTATGCAAATTATTTTTAAATTTCATTGTTCTTTCTCCTAGCAAAATTCTATTATCGTCGAAAATCATTTTCCATTTAAATTTTCCTTTTTTTTTTCCTATGTAATTCCTATCGATAAGATATAAATTTATGCATTAAAATAATCTCTTTATAGTCTTATAAATGCAGTTCTATTGGTTTTGTAGACAACGCCATAATTCAACCGGATAATATATCGATAAAATGGAGATTTGATCTGTATGCAATAAAGGATAATAAATTCAACATTTATAGAGAAACTTAAGCTGTTTAGTTCTGGAAAACTCAATTTGTAACAATTTAATACGTATAAAATAGAGTTTTCTATTATTTTATAGTTGGTTATCCGTCTACCGAATTGAAAGATCGTAACTTTACCCAAAGTGATCGCGATTCACCGGTTAAAAAATGCTTATACTAACCTATTTATTATTATTATTATTATTATTTTATTTTTTATAGGAATTAAATAAAATAAAATTGATTGA